GTGATATTTTCTTAAATTTTTAAATTCAATAAGCCATTTGTAATCTTACTGATAATTGATTGGCAAATATGGTGTAATTCACCTGGTTAAAGAATCAACAATGTAATGATTCAAGAAAGTAAAGAGCACGCGCTACCTTAAGCGCCTGAACGGATTACGGTAGGGGAAGAAAATCTAAAAAATAGTTCGAATTTGGTATAAATCAAAACTCGACTCGATTTAAAAATTTAAATTTTTTGATTTTATTATACTCGAATCGATCGAACGTTGACCATTACCGCAACATTTGAAAAAGCAATGTAGTTTAAAGATGGAGCAGAAGTGGGCCCGCGGACCCTAAACGAATCCTCTCTATAGTTAGGATGCAATCGGTTTAGTTCAGTTTGATCTAAATTTTACTCATGAATTTTTTTTACCGTCAGTAGTTTCAATTCTATCCGATTTCAAAAAATTTATATCAATAATAAACTTTTATTTTAAAATTTTATTTTAATAAAATAATATATTAAAAAATTTAAATTATTCAAAAATTACTTTTAACATATTAATTTGAATAAAAATTATATATATTTTTTTCAAGATTTTGACATATTATTATCATTTTTTAATTTAATCATTTAAAAATATATTATATCAATAAAAATACAACTTTTGAAAAATATTTCTCACATGATATACTACTACAGAAAGAATACTATTTTACTTAAAAATATTATTTAAATAAATAAATATAATCTACGTATTATTCCTATAAACTAACCATAAATAGCCAAACATATTTTAAAATCAAATTATTATTAAAATTATATTTTTCAAATTCCTTTCATTTCTCGCTGGCTGCCCTCCCTCCCGTCCTAACGCCTCACTCACTGATCACATACAAAAAGCAGAGGAAAACTCGCCCACTGAGTCTCAGAAAATAAAGAAAAATGCAGAAGCAGAAGCAGAAGCAGAAGCAGAAGCAAAAGCTAGCCTGCCAATTCTAAACCATCACACAATAGCTAAACCTCTTTTTAGTAGCAGAGCTTAAAGAAAAATAGAGAGAGAAAGAGCTCGGGCCCCCATCGCTCGGGCTCTCCATCAACACCTGTTAATTTAGCATTTTTTTTTTGGAAATTTTGCTCACAGAGAGAAATTCAAGTCTTTGGACTGATACAAACCTCTATTTCTTAATCCTTTGCCGGTTTTCCTTTTGAAGTTCCCGTACAGGTTACTGTTCTTCTGAGGCTGTGTAATTTTTTGGAGGGGGTTTGGGTTTCTTATTTTTGTCTTGAATGTTCTGTATTTCGATTCCCTTTGCCTTTTCTCTGATGGGATTATGAGGATCTCTCTGTATATTTGCTGACTTGGAATTAGAGAACATTCTTCGTGTTCTCTTCTTTTTCGTTTGTTTTTTTTTTTTGGAAAGGGGGAGAGGTTGAAAGTGTTTAGATGTAGCATCCAAGGTTTTTTTTTTCATTTTTAAAAGAAGAAAAAACTAGGGTTTCTCTTAATGGTGTCATATTTTTTGGCATTTCAGTTGATTGCACCTCAAGTTAAGCATCTCACCAGCTTATTCCATTGATTTGCTTTCGTTTCAGCAGCAAGTTGATTTTCTTTTTCAATATTTGGCGCTAAAATTAGAGGTTTAGTCAGAGAGCTTTGGTTGGTATATTCTTGTGAGTTTCATATTCTTTTGTTACTAAAACTTGTTTTAGAAAAAGTCTACTTGTTTAGATAGAAAATGCAGGAAGAGGGAATATATGATAAATTAAGTTCTCTATTTTGAAAGTATAATTTGTGAACTAAATGTAGATAAGATGGTTTGGCAGCGTGTCGATTTTGATGTTTGTTTTCAATTGATTAATGCCTCTTTTTTGGGTTTGCCAATAGAGTTGGCTAAGATATGAAAATGGAATTGTTGATTTGTATGTTTAAAAGAATATTGTAATAGTAAATGGTTTAGTGGATTGCCTTTTAAAGTCCAACCAGAAAACTAGAGGAATGATTGAGCTCGGTTTCATCCTCCTTTTGCAGGATTTGTCTGCTGTATGATTAAGATAGTTCCATGTAAAGATTCAAGATTGTCTGGAATGGAAAGGGCTACTGAATCAAAGTTACTTCCTAGAAGGTTGCCTGCGTTGAGCTCAGTATCGAATACGCTTTCCGTCTTTGGGAGAGAAGCAGGTCTTGTGCCGAATTTGCAAGCCGTGTATGTTAGAGATGAAACGGGTCGAGCCAATTCGGGAAACTCACTGGATTTCGAGTTGACTGAACCTGTGAGGACATGGAAAGGGAAAGATTCTTTGCTTGAACACGAAGAATTCATACCTGTTGTTATTACTTGTAAGGGCTGCAGTGATTCTTTGGAGGAAAGCGGACCTATTTCTTTTTCGGGAGCTAGTCACCCTCCTGAACCTGTTGACACAGATCTGATAAAACCTGTTTATGTACCAATTGGTCAGAAGAAGTCAGATCCGGGGTGTTTGATGAAGAGCATGTCGGTGAAGGGACCTTTTCTAGAAGATCTTTCGATTAGAGTTCCTCCTAAAAAACCAAGTCCTACTGTTCCGTTGCCAGCAGATGGTTTTGTTGAAGAACCCAATGATCCTGGTGCAATCTCTTTTCCGTTTTCAGTTCCACGGCCATCACAAAACACGGAGAACTCTCTCCTTCCTCCGGATTCAGATGAAAAGGAATGTGTTTGGGATGCTTCTTTGCCTCCAAGTGGTAATGTAAGTCCACATAGCAGCATTGACAGTACCGGGATGGTGACTGCAATGAGCATTGTCAATAGCTGTGCCAGTACGTATAGGAGTGATGCTGTTACTAGTGATGGCATGTTCAGCATGGATAGGAACTGCGAGAGTGCAAAGACTAGTGTTAGCCGAGCAAGTGATAGCAGTGGCCTTAGCGATGACAGTAACTGGAGTAACATCACCGGAAGTGCTAATAAACCTCATAAAGGAAATGATCCTAGATGGAAGGCCATCCTTGCTATTCGGGCTCGAGATGGAATATTAGGAATGAGTCATTTTAGATTGCTCAAACGTCTTGGTTGTGGTGACATTGGCAGTGTTTATCTCTCGGAGCTGAGTGGTACTCGATGTTATTTTGCGATGAAAGTAATGGACAAGGCATCCCTTGCAAGCCGTAAGAAGTTGAGTAGGGCTCAAACAGAAAGGGAGATTCTGCAGCTACTAGACCATCCATTTCTACCTACTTTGTATTCACATTTTGAAACTGACAGGTTCTCATGTCTAGTCATGGAATATTGTCCCGGGGGTGATCTACACACTTTGAGGCAACGGCAACCTGGAAGGCATTTCTCTGAGTATGCTGCAAGGTATCGTTTATTTACTCTAAAGGTATCGTTTATTGTCCCGGGGGTTGCCTAGAACTGTAAACCGGAAAAGAAAAATGCTTTCTGCAGTAAGGTTTATTTTTATTTAGCTCCCCTTCCTTGATCCTCTTTTTCATATCGGCTTTCAAGATATTTTCCTCTTGTATCTTAGAGTTTGCTGAACTTTTATTTTAGTTTTCTGTTGGCCATGACTCCTACTCCTGGTTTTAACATTTCTATATTAGGATTATGGGAAAATTGGTTCCTAGTAATTGATTGGTGTGCACTTGCATTGGTTTCCTCTTTTATGTTGCAAGATGTTGCCAAAATGTTGTGCATACGTAGTGAACATTATTTTATGTCTTTCATATCATTCCTCATCTTGGAACCTTTAGGGGTGTTTTTATTAGTACATATGCCATGGAATGAAATCTTTGTCTGATTTTTTTGTGAAGAAATAATACCCAGTAATTCCTGGACTAGAAAAGCTGTAGTATCTGGAAACTTAATTCCTTTGCCAATGTTCTATGCTTGTTATGTATCCATTCATCTTTGATGTTAATTATGATTTTGTATAGCTGGTATAAAGACATTGCTAAAGACGAGTGTCATCATATTGATGTCATAAGCTTTTTTTTTCCAGGGGTGTGTGTCAAAGAGATCAGTAAATTTCGTGTGAAAAAATTTGTAAACCCTTGTCCTTAATGCAGATTTTATGCGGCAGAGGTTCTATTAGCACTCGAGTATCTCCACATGCTTGGTGTTGTCTATAGGGATTTGAAACCTGAAAATGTTCTAGTTCGTGATGATGGCCACATAATGCTCTCGGACTTTGATCTTTCCTTAAGATGTGCCGTTTCTCCCACCCTGATAAAAACCTCAGCATTTGATTCCGATCCTTCAAAACGTGGAGCTGGTGGTGCATTCTGTGTTCAGCCTGCCTGTATTGAGCCTACATCAGTTTGCATCCAGCCTGCTTGCTTTCTCCCTCGGCTATTCCCACAAAAGAACAAGAAGAAAAACCGGAAACCTCGAGTTGAGTTTGGGTTGCCTTCTAGTACCCTCCCAGAGCTCGTAGCAGAGCCTACAGCAGCGCGGTCTATGTCCTTTGTTGGAACCCACGAATACCTAGCCCCTGAAATAATTAAAGGAGAAGGCCATGGAAGTGCTGTTGATTGGTGGACCTTTGGAATCTTCTTGCATGAATTGCTCTACGGCAAAACCCCTTTTAAAGGTTCAGGAAACCGTGCTACATTGTTCAATGTCGTGGGGCAACAGTTGAGATTCCCTGATTCTCCAGCAACAAGTTATGCCAGCCGTGATTTGATCCGGGGCTTGCTGGTGAAGGAACCGCAGCACCGGCTAGGGGTGAAGAGGGGTGCAACCGAGATCAAGCAACACCCTTTCTTCGAAGGTGTGAACTGGGCCCTAATACGATGCAGCACCCCACCGGAGGTCCCAAGATCCATGGAGAGTGAGTTGCCGCCTGGGGTGCCCATGAAACCTGGGCCGGTGGAGCCACTTGGGGTTGGTAGCAACAGTAAAAGGATAGTAGGGATAGGGCCAGGGAAAGACATGAAATCCGGGGGTAAATATCTGGACTTTGAGTTCTTCTAGTTTTGATTTAGAGGATGATGTGTTGTATCACTCAAAAATCATTTCAAGAGTTTGCTGTGACAGTAAGTGCTCTGTTCTCATGATTCTATATACTTCAGCTCAATCAGTACTAAAAATCAATGAAAATTCATGTTCATTGCAGACACACAGTGGCTTGAACACTACATTCATAAGCTAAATCTTAAAAGGATCCGACATAAAGGGTTCTTTCTCTTTTATTTGTTAGCATTAGGCAATGAGGGAATGTATCAGGTATTTTAATATACGGTTAAAAAAATATGTTATCAGAAATATTTTTTTTTATATTTTTGGTAAAATATTACCTAAAGTATTATTTTTTTACCAAAAATATTAATATTGGACGTTACATAAAATGTTTAACATTTCCGGTAAAACGTTACTTAAAATATTATTATTTATACTAGAAATATTAAATTTGAGTTTTACCGAAAATTAATTAGTAAAATTAACTTTTTTAATAAAAAAAATAATGTTTTATGTAATATTTTATTAAAAATATTAAAAATATATTTTTAATTATGCTAATATTTTTAATTAGAGAAAATAACCTCAGTGACAAAAAATGTCTTATAATATACGATTTTAACCAATTTTTTTTTGGATTTGCTAAAATGACCAACTAAATCGCAATGCGATCGATAATTCACAACGCGATCTCCGGTATCGCAAATCAGTTTCCAGATTCGCAATGCGAACTTAGACTATCGCAACGCAAACTTGGACTATCGCAATGCGATTTACATATTCGCATTGCGATAGTCCAAGTTCGCGTTGCGATAGTCTAAGTTCGCGTTGCGATAGTCCAAGTTCGCGTTGCGATTTTCCAAATTCGTTGCGATAGTCGAAGTTCGCGTTGCGATTTATTCTAAATTCGTTGCGATAGTCCATGTTTGTGTTGCGATTTATTCCAAATTCGTTGCGATAGTCCAAAATCGCAACGACTGGTGGTATTGTATTTGTTTCTTAAGAATTTTCTCTAAAAAGATAGTATTCGCGTGGACGTGTCGAAGACACGCACGACCACGACCACGACCCGAGATGAGACGAGACGGACGGCGGCGGCGCGCGAGAGTCCCCCTTGTTCTCTATCACTCAACAAGGAAGTGAGAAAGCCAATCCTTAAATACAATTCTCAACAGTGTTCCAATACTATGTGAGATTGAGCATTACCAACACTTGTTTCCAATACAATGTGATTATTCAGGAAACAATTAACAAACATGCACCTTAAAACAACTGAATCGGCAACCAATTGCATTAGTATTATACGATTAAATATGTCATAATTAAAAGTCAATCTACAATCAATCGCGATTATTTCAATTTTAAGCAAAACATTCAAAAATAATATCACTATTTAAGGCTCAATCCCACATAGTATTGGGAACAAGTGTTGGTAATGCTCAATCCCACATAGTATTGGAAATACTATTGGGAATGGTATTTAAGGCTTGGCTTTCCTACTTCCTTGTTGAGTGATAGAGAACAAGGAGGACTCTCGCGCGCCGTCGTCTCGTCTCGTCTCGTCTCGTCTCGTGGTCGTGGTCGTGGTCGTGGTAATACGTGTCTTCGACACGTCCGCGCGAATACTATATTTTTAGAGAAAATTCTTAAGAAACAAATGCAATACCACCAGTCGTTGCGATTTTAGACTATCGCAACGCGAACTTCGACTATCGCAACGAACTTGGAATAAATCGCGACGCGAACTTCGACTATCGCAACGAATTTGGAATAAATCGTATATTATAAGATATTTTTTATCACTGAGATTATTTTTTCTTTTAATTATGTATTTTCTTAATATTAAAATTATCGGGCATTATAATTACCCGGCAATAAGTCCCACCAGACTGGCACCACAATATTCAACTTTTACTCTCACTTTCAAATCTTTTTTCTATTGTTCAAACTGTGTAATGTTGTACGTTCTTCTGCCTGGTCCTCACGCAATTGATGAGTCGTCAGTGTATTGGTAAAAGTAATTAAACAAATGTCAACAGTTACAGGCTTGGGATCCAAAGATTAGACCAAATCTAAATGGTATCAAGCCAATGTAAGAAAACTCTATCTACAAATTGCAGGTTTTAAAATATATAAAAAATACCAGAAATGTCCAGTGAAGATCCTACTTTGCAGCCGGTCAGGTCAACCGAGCCCTCTGGATGCTGGCTAACTGCATGATTCCTGATAACACCTTTTTTTTATCTTCTGGATCTTGGATTCTATAACCATCCTTCATAATAACACTAAATTATCCCATAAAATAATACTAACAAATCAAGACAGTTGTCCAACAACAAGAAGTGGCTCTGGCTGGCTTTAGGGGAAATCCAAATTACTAAAACAAAAGCAATGAAGAATTTGCCAAAGAAGAACAACTTACTGTAACCTTGAGAAGCCGTGGCCATGGCAAAGCCAAGGATGATTGATAAATGAAGCTTTTAACATGACAAGCACAATAGCCAGTGCCCCCCTCCCATCAATAATGCATTGTTTGGTCTACTCACCACAATTACAAATAGCCCCACCACCCCCAGAATAGACCAGGAAAAAAAAAAACTAAACAAAAAAGGGGCAGAATTTGTGTTTTTATTCATTTGCTAAAATTGCAATTTCCTTTTTCTATTGGGATACAAGAATGAGGGGCAATTTCCTGTACAGACTTGCCTTTGCTTGACAATCGATAATTGACAAAACCACAGAAAGACCACCTCCCATGTATTTACACTTCCCCCAGAAAATAAGCGATTACTATGAGAGCCAACAGCCAGAACCCACCCCAACTCTTACAGATTTCAACTTACCTCGAAAATTCTTCATGTGTGGAAGAAAATTGTATTCATCTACTTGATACGATAGGATTGGGAGCATACCGAGTTGAGTGTCTCGGTAAATAAGGCAGAAAAGTTGTCAATGCTTGAAAAACGCCTGGCAAGCCTGTTTGAATGTTAGAGTCATTGCTCTCGACACCTCTACTGCTTTGGCATGCCTCAACATCTCATCTTCCACCCGCCTTTGACAGGCTGCAAGCTCAGATTTTTTCTCGGCAAGGGGGTCCCGAGCATCCAGTACCTGCCCCATGATCAGGCCCAGAATCAGGAAGGTCGATACCAACCATAGAGTACGAGTGGTAGAATTTCCTCTCTATGTTCCGGAGAGATGATGTCTTTTTCTCAAGATCCTTCGATGCAGTTTCGGACCGCTTCTTAATCTTAATCTCTTCTGATTGTTTAACGGATATAACATGGACAACATTGATAAAATTTTTGATAGCTTCAGAAGCTACTGTGTCAGGGACTCGGTCAAGAGCAAGCTTCCACTCGTCACAAAATGCATATGCATCAGAGACCTGTGCGTGGCCATTGCCATCAACATAGTCATTGCTGACAGGAAGAAGGGTGAGCTTGAACCAGCCATGGAGGGAGCGGATGAAATCCCGTTGAAATTTTATTAAACGGCAGAAACTAGAGTGCCAGGCAGAGACAGCTGACTCAAGATCACGCGTTGCCTGCCGGTGCAGTTCGGAAGTTGAATCACCTTTCCTGAACTGTTTATAAGGCCACGGACTTGCTGCACAATATTGTTCTGAACTTCTGATATTGATGCATTGACCCCCACATATATCTGAACCTGCATTCAAATCCATTCGATTTGTAAAGATAATATTGAAGTTGAAATTAATGTAGCATTCAAATGGAAAACAAAAGTTACCATACCCTAATATAATAATCCAAAGAACTAAAATAAGTAATTCAGAACAAGGTTTTCATCCTATACAAAATCTGGCAGTCAAATATGAGTACAAGCACCAACATAAAGCTTGCAGGTATGTTCCCCATAAATTATCTCATCCACCCTAATAATACGGGCCTCAAACGACTCATAACATAAAGCTTGCAGGTATGTTCACCATAAATTATCTCATCCACCCTAATAATACGGGCCTCAAACGACTCATAACTTAAGTATTATGACTGTTGAATTATATTTTGGTATAACAATTAATGCGAAATATTTACGGAAATAACTTATCCAATTCATGGTACATGATGATGTGGATTAATTGCAGGCATGATATGTCCACTTGTGATGTCACATCAATAAATATTTTTATTAAATTATTAACAAGCAATCATATATTGTATATTGCAACGTGACACATTAGATTTTTTTTACAATTAAATTAGGAAAGGAGGGGTTAAACCTCCAAAACATGCACCCAAAAGGATTTAAACTTGGTCTAGTGAATGAAGGTCTCAATGCCTAACCACCAAACCAACTCACTTAAATGTTATTGTTATGCAAATAACAATATTTAAAGTATATTATAGCCATCAAAACCACAACATAAACATTTTAGAAACTTTTATTTTAAATTTATTTTTATTAAATTTAAACTACATACTATCTAATTAAATTCATATTTTAAACAAAAAATAAAACAATTTAATCTCATGTTAATATCATAAAGTATTATTAGTATTTAAATAATAGACTATCATGTTAATAACATAAAGTGCCAAATCACCATATTTATCATGGAAATTTTTTTTAAAGATAATTAAATAAATACTAATTAATAAAAAGATTGATGCAATTAAATTAGTTTAAAGACAAAAAATATAAAAGTATAAAAAAATAGAATTTACTACATAGGTAATTTTTAAAATAGATTACAACTATCAAATTTACTTTTAGCCTTGTTGTTATGACATTTTAAAGATTGTTTTTGAAAAGAAATATAAAATGAAGATGACAAATCTGAATACACTGAATCAAATTAATATTTAACAGTTACAGTTGAATCATTACATCTTTAGAGATTAAAGGTGACTAAATGCAAAACAATAATTTTAAATGCAAAGAAATAATAATACAAAAGGATGATGATTCTTTTAATTAAAATTTTAAATCATTCGTTAATCTTCAATTAATTAAATTAGACGGTATTGTTAGATTCGAACTTAAAATCTTATTTAAAAGATATTAATTTATTTATTATATGATCTAATAAATATTAATAATATTTCTTGTATCTATATCATTGTGGATATGAGATTGAACGGGCGGTAAAGATAATAAGCTTATCTTGTTTAGGACAATACGAAGAATAGGGTATTTGGAATATAAGAAAGAGATGGAATGAAGGGTAGTTGGTCCTCTCCTAGATCAATAAGAGTGGTACAATAATGTATTTTGAGTCACCTAAAACATGGTAAGACGATTAATAAGCGAGTCTACCTATCATTAAACGAGATTAGAGATCCCTGTGAAGGACCTTGTATGACTGTTGGAGATGTGATTGATCAAAAACTGCTTCGGATGCTATTGATCTCAACGAGATAATTTCAAGATTTAGAAACATTTAGCTCTGGTGTTGCAACTTGCAAGCGTCCAAGAAAGAAGCCAAACAAGTGGAGACAGGGATGGATCGAGAGGAGCGTGTGGGCACAGTCACCCTCTGAAAATATAAAATTACCATATATTTTAAATATTTTCTATGTATTTTCTGTTGAAAATCTTTTCCGTCTCCCTTGAAATCTTAATTCGTCCCCTAACATAAAATAATGCATCCGTCCCTTGGCGGAGAGACAAGAGGAAGAGCAAATGGTGGGAGGCAATCTAAAGAATAGATGGAATCACTACAAAAAAAAAGGTTTGTAGCAGCGTTTTGAGAGCAAACACTGCAAAATTTATACATATAACAGCATTTAAATCCCAAACGCCACAAAATGGTAACATTAGCGGCATTTTTCTAGAAACGCCGCTATAGCCTCATCTTTTGTGACATTTTTTAAACAAATGCCGCAATAGGTGAGTGCATTACTGACGTTTTTAAATACAAACGCCACAAAATAGTAACATTAGCTGCATTTTCCCAGTAACACCTCTATATACTCATCTTTTGGGCATTTTATAAACAAATGTCACAATATGTTGGTGCATTAGTGGCGTTTTTATATACAAACGCTGCAATAAGTCAATGCATTAGTGGCGTTTTTAAATAGAAACGTTGCAAGTTTTGAGTCTTTTATCATCCCAAAACTTTTAACTCCTTTTCATTTTTTTTCTTTACATTTCTCAAAAGTTTCTACAGTTTACCCAAACCCATGAAGTTGTTGTCGCTGTTCGACGCCGTCGTGGCCTTCACCGTCACACCTATTAAGATCTCCTCACTGTTCCGAATTAGCCCAACCACCCTTGCCTCTAGCACCGTCTATTTCTTTTCATGACTCATTATTCTCTCTCTTGGGTACTTCTTCTGGAACCGCTTGGACCATTGTTCATCTCTCCCATTTCTTTGTAAGCCATTTTCTTTTGATTTCGATTCTTAAAACTTAGTTTTTTTTTTTCATGTTTGATTATTTTCGTATATGGGTTTGATTTGGTTTATTTATTGATATTTCCTTAATGGGGTTTTGGAATAAACTAAGGGTTTGGTTGTTGCTCCTAACTTTATCTAGCAAATACAAAGATAATTTTACTTCGTTTGTTTAAATTTTAAGGTTTTTTTGTGAACTCACATTAAGAGATTTTGAATTTTGAATTTGTGTTTGCTTTTGCTTAGTGGGAAGTCTCTTCTTTTGTTATTATTTGTGAATTCAATTTCAATTTCTCTCTTAAATTTCAAATAATAATAATTTGTGAACAAATTTAAAGTTGGTTCTTTCATGTTTCTCCTATTTTAGGATGTATAACTTACTCATCCCTTTAAGTCATTTAAAGTCAGTTCTTTCATGTTTCAGATTAATTTAAAATTTTATAGACAAAAAAAAAAGATTAAAAAAATGCAAGTTTGTGTTGTTCATCAATGGAGATACGTTTTCAATTTTCTGGTCAGTTTTTAGACTTAAATTCCACTTTTAAAACAATTTTTTTAGTTAAATTCAAATCTCTTATGCATTTGGAGATGTCATTTGATGATTTGATTTCCCTACTTTTTATGTTTTAAGCTAAACTATTCGATTTGTAATAATATTCTTACTAGTCTTACAAAAAAAGGAAAGAAAAAAACATGTGTATTACAAGTACAAGAAACTTCATTTTGCCTTTGAATGACACAAGAAACATGAATGAATCAATGGTTAACACATCCTATTGGGGCTTGTTATCGAGAGTTGGATAGGGTCGAATGAATGTAGAGTTCATTTGCCAAATCCTAAGTGAAGCACTAACACCCACTAGGTCGCATTGTTGAATAGGAACATTTTAACAACTCCATAGATTGCTTTTGTCGGATAAACCCTAGATGTTATCATTGTCCTTCCACCTTAAGCAAAGCTTTCGATAATTAAATGGTCCACCTGAAAAAAAAATAACATTTTCATGTTCGTTGCTCTCCAAAACAATATACAACTAGGAGCATGAAACAAGTAACTTTACTGACCAATACCTTGAGGGATAAGTTTTCGCCTTCCAGTACTGGAACCACACTCTCGAAGATTTGTTTATTAACATCAGATGACTCAAATGATCTGAAATAATACGATTTGGTAATTGGTAAGTCCATGGCTCACATTTACGTGAAGAACATATTTAGGTTTTATATACATACCGAGATTGGTCCCATCATCTCTAAACATACACTTCAATTATTATTATTTGTGGATAATACATTTTCAAGTATTGTTTATGTAGGTATTGGTTTGGTAGACATTTGTATACAACATTTGGTTCAAATGGATGAAAATTTTGCTCAAATGAAAGTCAAAACTAAAGCGAGGGAAGCAACATAGAAGAAAAAATATGAAGACTTTCGAAATCAACTTCAAGCTATGATGCAAATGATACGACAAAATCAACCCCAGAGCCCACCATCTTAGGTGTTATTTTAGATATATGCTTTGTTTATTCTAGTTAACAACGTTGAACTATATTATATTTCACTTTAATGTAAACTTTGATTTATTATTATGGATTTCAAGTTTGTTGTTATGGATTTCAAGTTTATTGGATAATTCTACATGTTAAAATTTTAAATTTGGGTAATAAAAAGCAGAAAACAACATTTGAAAAATCAATTTTAATTAGCAGCGTTTGTATAATAAAACACCACTAAATACAATCAATACTAGTGTTTGTAAAACAAAACGCCACTAAAGTTTGAGATCTTTTGCATCGCTTATATAGAAAACGTCACTAAATACATAGTCAATACAGGCGTTTGTAAAACAAAACACCACTAAAGTTCGAGATCTTTTGCGGCGCTTATATAGAAAACGCCACTATATACATAGTCAATAGCAGCTTTTTCCATTCACAAACGCCACTATATGTCAGAACATTTAGTGACATTTTTGGGAACAAACACCACTAAAGAAAAGATAAATAGCAACGTTTGTAAAAAAGCGCCTTAACCTTTAGCAGTGATTGACGTTCACAAACGCCACAAATTTTTACGGTGTTTGTTTTAGCGGAATTTTTTTAAGCCAAAAGAATTTTAACGACGTTTAAAAACGTCGTTATATAACTAAAAAAGCTCCACTAAAAACCTGTTTTGATGCCGTGAATGGTGTTGGTGATGTCACATTGGTTTCTCAACGGCTATTTGACATAACTGACACCGTTTTTTTTTTAATTTTCCCTTTCTGGCACCGTTTGACCAATATTTCCAGAAGTAGCACCCTTTCTGCTGAGTTGGCAAAG